TCTCAGTGCATTCCGCGAAACTGGAAATATTTAATGAAATTAAACGTGCATAAATATCCCATAGAAAACCCAAAAGAGAGAAAAAGAGAATTAAAGAAGGAAGAAACGAAGAGTATATATATATATAAAAAAAAAAGACATTATCTGCTTTTAATGGCTGTGGGAAAATTCCTCTTTATCCGATCTCTGAGAAAGAGGAAGAAGAACAGAAAGATTGTTTGATGCTGGCGAAAACTAATTACTTCTTACGACTTTTTAATCCTGCTTTTGTTTTCGTTTTTGGAAACAGACACCGCAATTTCACCCACCTGAATACTTACTCACGTGACCGAGGGGAAAAAGTGAGGATGGAATAAAAAATTGCGTTAAATAAGCAAAGCGCAAAAAACCGCAACGACCTGTTAGTTTTTTTTTATGTATTTTCAGCCGCCTCATTAAGGTTTTAAAACGCTGGAATCAGTGGCTTCTCAGATGACCAGAGGTTTTTGTGTCACGATCTTTTAGATGACTTTTTTTCTGCCGTTAATCGACATGCCGAGATTTAAAAAAAAAATTTCTTTGCGGTAATGAGATTATAAAGGATTTAGACTCGTTCATCATGTACTCCATACAAAAGACGATTTGGTTAATCTTTGGATATCCTACCATTTAAATAACTTAGAAGAAACGGAATTTTTTTCACTGTCAACCTAAGCCGTCTTTACAAATCCTTTCAAACAAAAATTTAGGAAGTTTGGATCAAAAAATTGTTTTTAACGAAAAGAGGAAAAGGTTTTGTTTTAGAAGACGAATTCCGGGATGAAATATGAGATCTTACCACGATAAGCTAATTTTTTATGCTGTAATCTTCAAAAGGTTATTATAGAAAAGTTTGCGGTGTAGAAAATGATAGGTATGTATAATTTTTAGATGCTGTATTTTATCAAAGTTTTCAAAAAGTTACTAAGTAGCGGATTTTTATTAAGCACTCGAACATATTTAAAAGAAATACATTTTTATTGAAAGCAAGCTCATGCATCTAAAGCTTATGAACTTTAGAATGAAAGTATGATCACAGCAGTACCTCAGCTATCAGTACATCTAACTAAAAAGTATAGAAAGCGTTTTGCCGACTTTTGTCACGCATCGAAAACAATTACTACTTAACATCTTTTACTGAAATCATTTACATTTCTACAATTAGATTGTTACGATTTCTAAAATATCTAAATATCTAAAAATTTCTCTTTGTGAACAAGCAAAAGTCGATCAAAGAGTAATGTAAAATCCACTATAGCTCCATAATTGCAAACACTAGATAAATGTTGTAAGTAGAAGCATTTGTCCTTTGCCACCTAACCTATTAATACTTTTTATCTTTTGTTGCTGCAAGTATACCATCATGGACAATCAACGTGACAAACACTGTAACAACAATCTGCAGTAATCGGATTACTCGTCGAAAAATTCCGCAACAACGATTCACTGAAGCTGTTACTGTAGACTGTTACTTTTAAATAGACATTTCAGGACCTTTTCGATCCTCTCCTATTAGCAATCGTTACACTTGCGATCATACCGCATAGTTCTTATTTTCTAAATTAAAAAAAAATCTAAAATGTCAGTCTTCATTCATGCGCATTTTACGAAGCAAAACATATTAAATGGAAATGAACTGAAAAAAAAAAAAAAAAAAAAAAAAAAAAAAAAAAAAAAAAAAAAAAAAAAAAAAAAAAAAAAAAACAATTAGAGAACTTGATGATTTACCACACTTGTCATTACCATGGTTACAAAACAAAAGCAGGCAGGAAAAATGACTTTGAGGTGACAATTTTGAAATAAGAGGTTATAGTTTATGAGAACAACACAATGAATCAAAGCAAAGCATTGTGATAATTTCAGAAGTTCCGGCATGGTAAGTGTGACATTCACAACCAGTCTCAACCGTCACAAGCGAGGAAAACACCTCAGTCATTGAGAAACTTTTCTAATATGTCAGATGCATCACCATGACATGGATCACTGGCGATAAAGGTATGGCAAAAGGATCTGCTTTAACGCTAATCCAATGACTAGAATGCAGAAACATTTGTGCTTGTTGGATCACATGTCTCTTGACAGTGCAGATAACGCAAATCTGGAAGAACTATGTGATGATAATAAAGTTTTTTGGGGACTATCTAGAAAATTTTCGTAGCGTCATCATATAAGATGAAACCTGGCTGTTTCACTTCGATCTTGAGAGGAAACGCAGTTGATGGAATGGACGAGGATTCTGTCATAGACACACAGATTACTGTAAAGACAGTAAAGTAAATGGATCATATATTGAGTGACACTTCTAGAGGACCAATGCTTGTACTTACAAAATTTCATTTCTGTAATGCCTTTATCGAAATATTGCGTTACTTCCTGACCGACCTCTGTAATTAATTTACTTTGAAAATATGTATTATTTCTTGGATTTAAATATATTTTGAGTCAAACGATACTTATAGTTTTCTGATGCGTACTGTTTAGAAGTTTTGATATGTACTGTTTAGCAGGAAAAGATAATTTCGTAGTCTGAGGGCACATTGTGCGAAAATACATCTTCAAACGTACTGCTGATAGCTGATTTGTTAGCTAAATAAATAAGGCAAAGCACTGGAGACCTATTTCCTAACAAAGAACAATGTGTTCGTGGAAGAATTAAGGTTACTTATGTGATTACGGGAAAACACCGAGAGTTATCGGCCTTAGAAAATGGATGCCTTCTTGGGGACTTCTTAAGGGAACTGGATCGTATACACGTTACACTTGGTGAAAACACGAAAACGCTTATGCGGCCAGCCTGTTCGCAGCGTTCGAGACTCGAAGTGAACTACCAGTGTTCAGCGACTTTACCCGCTCGGCCGCTGGTGGGCGGAAGAATTAAGAAAAATTTGTATTACAAGTGCGCGGCTGAAAATGTTATAGGTTTATAAGATGATATTTCAATTATATGAAAAGCACCATAAATGATTTTTAATTCTATCGAAGACAATGAAATTGAGAGGACCACGCCAAAGTAAAATTTAAAATTAGGCGAAAAAAAAAAAAAAAAAAAAAAAAAACTTTATTTTAGAGTAGGTTTTGAATAAAACTTTATCGATTTAGAAGGCGATCAGACACAAATCCTTCTTGTTCAGGAGAAAAAAAAATGCAAGCTTATAAGTTTTTTTTGGCGGGGGGGGGAAAGCTTCTGAAGAGAGATTTATGTCTGATCGGCCTCGAAACAGATATAGTTTTACTCAAGAGCTACACCAAAATACAGTTGCTTTCTTGCCTAATTTTAAATCTAGCCAAAGTACTGAGATTTTATTGCTAGGGATAATTAGATAAAAATGAACATTCTTAATTCATTTCATGGTAAATGATTTCTATAATAAAAATATTAATTACTTCAATTTTTGTTTCAGTCATTACAAAGTAGGCGTATATATCATATATGCCTCAGAAATGGTTACGAAATGATGGCGATATTTGTAAAACTATTAGTTAGATGTATTATGAAATATATCCAGTAGATAGATATATTATTAAAAACAAAATTAATTAAAAATATTACGAAATATATGCACTATTTTTAGCTTCATGGAGATTTTGTAATATGCTTTCATGATTTGAAAGAAAAATTCCAAATCTTTTATTCTAAGATTGGAAACAGCTGTAAGAATTCACAACTTATCAGCCGGCATGTGTGTTTAATGCTGAGTAGCGTGATGCAATACAAACGAACATAAATTAGCTTGAAAAAAATGCTGAACTGTATTTAATGCAGGTAAAAATGCCCATGGCTCGTAGAATTGTACTGAAATCTAAATAAGTAAAATTATCAAAAGATATTTAATTTTTCAGACGACAAATTGTAGCTGTCAACATAGCTAAAAACTGAAGCAGTGATTTTATACCTTGAAAACAGGATCTGACAAGAAGTCAAAGGTTTGCTTTTGTCCTTGAGAAGAGCTGCTTGTCTTTGTGGTGCTTCAGATTTTTGTGGTGCTTTTGTGGTGTTAAAGATTCATAGAATTTGCAAGGTCCATTAATCATCTGTATAAAATATCAATCGAAGATGAGACCTCACTGATTTCGAATGACAAATGCTTGTTATGATTTAATTCGCTTGAACCAAAATTTAAATGCAATCTAGAATTTATAAACCAAAATATTTACTTAGTACTTTTGTCCTTTTCTCAATGTACATTTAAATTTAAAAGCTAACCAGATTTACGTACACACGAAGCATATTTTCGTTATACTGAAAACTTACATATATCGAAAAATTATTTTGAACTTACAAATGGCTATAGAATTATCTTTTCATTTTTTGCTTTCTCGTTACGCTATACTACGAAAATATTTATTATCTATATGGGTTGAAATGTTGCCTCTCCACGAACTAAAGATCTTTCTAATATCATGTATGTAGTTTTGCAGACTGCCAGTTCTCCTAAATCCAGTAATTCGACCCGGTAAAAGGTCCTGAATTTATTTTTAAAAGTTAAGCTACAAAATAAAACTACATGCTATTTAAGTAACTGATTTAAATCAACGTACACATTCGTTAAAAATTACATTTATATTTTAAAATTATATTTCTAATTGAGGTAAATTGTAATAGTTGATATGATTTATAATATACTAAATGATTTTTAAATATATTGAACGTTTAATTGCAATGAATAAAAGATGTTTCTAACGTCATAAAAAATACGCACTATGATACGGGATGATCGTAAGCTTGTCATTTAACAATGATTTTTATTTTTCACATCTAAAAAAATGTACCATAGAGTTTGTTTCAGTAGTGCATTATCGCCAACTTAAGAAATTTAAGCACTAACTTGAAAGTATGCGCAACATATAATGTTAAGAATTTTGTTTTTAAGTTTTAACGGTATATCGCTGTATAATTTAGCGTATTTTATTAGTTTTCCGTCACATAAACATATTTCAAATGAGATTATTAAATGATTAAACGACTCAAAAGATTCGCTTACTTTGTTCATTCTCCGTGCCCGGTGCCGAAGTCACCTGCTGTGAAAGAAAGAAACATTTTAGAATTAAAAGCAGTTTTGTTAACAAATTCATAAAACTCATGCTTAATTTGTAATTTAAAAATAACTATGCCAAACTGATAAATAAGCTGATAAAATTACGTTTTATATTTTAGTTTCATTGAGTAAACTTTGATTTTATTATAAAGGTTATTCACACTAGAGAAGTATTTCAAACTAAGGAGTTTAATATAATTTTAATAATGACTAATGCTAGCCAATTGAGCATTTCCAAAAATTTGGTATTTTGAATATTTCTGAGATTTAGAATTTACTCTTACTAGTGGATCATAATCCCTTTTTGATTGGAAAAAAATTATTGAATTATTTAAGTGATGCATATAAAACTGTAATCAAAGTGTTTCCAGTTAATGTGCAGGGCACTGAGAAAGTGATAGATGTTATAAAAATTTCACATCGTTTTGTAACAACAGATGCACATTATATGTTTTATGCAATTCAAATGAAAATAAACATTTTAATTTGAAAGTTTTATACAATAATACCATTATTATCATTATTGAAGCATTCCATTTTTTATAATGTTTAAGAGTCTGGCAATGCACTATCCTCTTTCTCCCATAAAAGCGTTATCCGATATAATTCAACCCCATTCAGTTCGAATAAACGAGGTTCTTCTGTATGTTTTTATTTATAAAATGCTGCATATAAACATTATTAATAGAATTATAAAAATGTAGTACTAGTAAAGGTAAGTATAAACATTAGAATTTTGAGCTAGAATTAAGTTGAAAAGATTTGCCACAATACACAATTTTCCCCCTATCAAAGTGTCTTTAAGCCAACTGTAAAATAATGACCAGCTCATTCCAAATAATTTTGAACTAGAATTACAATAGCATAGAATTTTATTCAGTTTGGTTACATCAAAATTAAATATATTAGATTTTAAACGAAATATTAGAAACTGAGATCCCTCTATCATCAAGGTCCTTTATTTATTTTCCAGCATAATTTAATAAAAGATTTCTTCAAAAATTTAAAAGGAGTGTTCAAAGAAAAAGAAGTCGACAGAAACAGCTGTTTTGTTGTTAACTAGTTCTTCCTGTCATTAGCACGCGAGCTGGAAAAGAATTCTTGCATTCCCGTGCATAATAAAGAAGCCTGCAGCACTGTTTATTGTTAAAAGAGTGGTCATTTCTTATGGCTTCAAATTAACCTGAAACTCAGAGTAATGCATTTGCTTTGAAAAGAAGATCTAGATTTTGAAATAAGTAGGTTACATTTAATTATGAAATCATATGGAAGTAGCAGTAAAAGGAAGAGATCTTAAAGACAGAAATAACACTGCTGTCGTAATTTTTCTTAGAAACCTACAATTGCATCAAATTTTAGCTTAAAACCTCAAAAGATACACAAAACACTGCAGACTGAAACTTCAGGTTATACAATACCATGGCTCAAAGAATTTAGAAAGTTAAAAAAATGTCAAAAAATTAAAAATCTAAAACAGTTTAATTTCCAAAACGATTTTAAGTGGATCTACATTAGTTTAAGAAATAATGTCCCAGAAATTAAAATAACAGAACAAAATTGCATGTTTAATACGCGCTATTCAAAATGTCAAAGCCAAATGTAGCTAGTAATTATTGCGATAATATTTTATTATACATTTATGCCATATGGAGATTTAGACAGTTATTTAATGAATAAAAAATTTAATTGTTTAAGAAGTTAGCTGTGCATTTATTTGTCTTGATTTCTCTTCTACATGAAAGAGACTGAAACTTATAGAAATATTTCGTCAAAATATTTTCATTTTCTATTGTGACGAGCTATTAAAAATGGCAAAGCAATTACTTCAAAAATATTGTGATAACATTTTATCATACATAAACGTCATGTGGAGACTGTGTTTATTAAATGAAGAAATGCTTTACCTATTAAAAATAGATATACATTTCTTTCACTTGGATAACTTCTGCACGAGAATTACAGAAATATTTCTTCAGTTGGAAATGTTCTCTATTTTGCCAAGACACGAAATCTACGCATTTGAAACAATAAGCACCCGGGAAAGGTTTCCGTAGAGGTATTTGTTAGGAAAATAAAGCTAATAAAACACATTTATGAATCAATTACAGATGAAAAAATCAGTTACAGATGAAAAGATTGTATAAAATTATCTTTCTTATCAAATTCTTAGGTGTAGAAATCCTTTAGTGAAAGTATTCACATTTATAATAAAAGAGGTATGAAATTGCATACGTCTTATTAAATACTACAAAAAATGTAGTGGAATATCACTTCCTCTACAGTAGTTATAATTTCCAGTGGTTTTTAACTTAAAGCACGCGGTATTTTAACCATATAATTCATCACAGAACCACTGTTAAATTCCTTATTAGAACTCGTTGCATACACATGCTGCTTGGCAGAATACCTTCAAAGCTTCTCGAGCATCACATTACAAGCTATTTTATTACATTAAAATAGCTTGTAATGCAATAATTGTATTATATTAAAAATATTTTATTATATAAAAACTATTTATTATATTAAAAAGCTTGTAATGCAATACAATAAAATAGCCTGTAATGTGATGCTTTATTTTATTACATGTGTTGATTGTAGCGTAAAAAGGTGTTATGAAATAGCCACATTAAGATTCTGAATTTTTTTCTAATATGACGCATACTTTGGAAGCATTTTAACATGCTTACAAAACTTATCTTCTTTATATTTATATATAAGCGGCTAAAGTGTGTGTCGCCGATAGTTTATTGCTGCCACTCGGAAAAATGCGCGCGAAAATCAACGTTTCTGCAGTTTTTAATTAATATCTTAACCGATTAAAGTCGTGCGAAGATGAGAACGGTATCGATGGATTCGGAGAAGTTTTTGAAATCCGAGGATACGCGTCTCGAATTTCTAATCGGCGACGTTCCGCAGATATTTGAGAAAAACGAATTTGGCGCGTAGCCAAATCCCTCTGATAGGAAAAACCCATGAAAGAAAGTGAAAAATGAAGGTAAAACGTAAAGGAAAATTAGTTTTTAATCATTTGAGGTTTTGCAGCTGAGGATGGTGGTTCGGTAAAACCATCGAAACTAGTCCTGTGAAAATTTGAAGATATAACGCTGATTTTTGTTGTTTGACTTCTGAATTAGTATTTATTCGGCGTGTTATTGTGTCTTAATTATAATAAATGCTTTCAATAAAAAGTAACTATCTTAACGTTTCTAATGTTTTGTAATACTTTTGTAAGATCCACGTGCTCATCTTCTAAGTGACAACTGTACGCGTGGTAAGTACGCGTAGGAACTACACAAGAGAAGGCGTAAAAGCACCCTTTATTTAACTCATTAAAATTCACTAAAAAAGCGTCGACTTGACGCTAACATACTACGCCTCACTCGGGCGATAAATTAAATAACAAGAACTAAACTAAAAATTCGAAGATATAAAAAATAGTATAAATTAAGTTATATGGCTCAGAAAACTCCTGTTACTTAAACCCGCGTCGAAATCTAGCGGCGGTAAAGTAATAGCTTTACAGCACTGCAGAAATGGATACGTTACAGAAGTGACGGCAAATGTCCCAAAACTCTCTCACTTTCCTTCTAGAACTCGGTATTTATACTTTATTTCATCAAGGTAGAATTTGCATTACTTCACGCGCGCTACTAAATTCGAATATTCTGGCATTGACAATTAGGGGAATGGTTTACAGGAAAGAAAGTAAAATTAAATTAAATTGGTCATTTAAAATAAATATAAATCCCTACACTTTAATAACTGGTAAAATAAAATAATTATTTTCGTCTGAAGATATTTGCTAATAGCATAAAAACTTCTTAAGCTTAGATTTGATTTCTACAAATTATTTTTTCTCGGCAAATTCTGGGTTTACATTTATTAAAATATTTACTTTTAAGAAGTCATAGTTTCTCTGTAGAGGTCTAATTTTTTTAGTGCACCAACCGACGAGTGGTAAAACCGCCGAACAGTAGTAATTTGACCCACAATCAATTCCCAGTGAACAAGATGGCTGCATGGGAAATTACCTTGTATTATTATCTATGTGAAATGTGAATACCATCCCGTCCTCCGCGAGGGATCCCTTCTCTTATGCAAATGGCCCTTGAGTGCTTTGCATATAATCTAAGTAACCTAATACTAATCTAAACTATTTATGTGTTAATTTTTAAATTTTTGAATTGCTAGTTTATTTAGAGACTTTCAGAGACTAACCTTTCACATATTTTTTCGTAAATATTAAGTCTGAGCCATTAATATTTTCAATGATGTTTCATGTTTATCTGAAATTAATTTACAATTATGGTTCACTAATTAATATACTGTTAACTGGTTCAAAAATCATATTTCTTACAAGTCATACTAAGTTATACAAAACTAATGTTTTAAATAACGATTTCAATAAAAATTTCTATGTGAATAATAACGAAATTGGTAAAGCTTTTCTACAATTTTTTTAATTCCTAAATTTCAGAATAATGTTGGAATCAGAATATGAACTAATTTAGTTCCATTTGCGACTGCATAATTATTATTTACTCAAAAAAAAAAAAAAAAAAAAAAAAAAAAAAAAAAAAAAAAAAAAAAAAAAAAATTGAAACCTGGTTTTTAAGGACTTGTATTTTTGACTTTAAAAGACATTATTCGAAAATGATGAATGAATACTAGTATTTATGCAATTATGCAATCATACCTACTAGAACATGTGAGCAAAGACGAAGCTACCTGTTTCAGGTTCGGAAAGAGAAATGTTCTTAATTATCTATGTCTCAAGTACATTCTAACAACTTCGAAACATATTCTTTTTTTTCTTCTCAAAATTCCAGAGATGTTAAAACAGTAATCCTCATAAAACTTTCAAACATCATAAAACTTCAAAAGCTATTTGCATCATCTTGGCCTCTGTATAAGAATAAGCAGTTCTTAAAACATCATGAAATAGTTTAAAATTTAAGCGTTCTGCATCCGAATTTCTCTGTT